TACTAGTACTACTACTAGTACTACTACTAGTAGTGTCCTCTGTTGTATCTGCAACTTATATTGTGAGTAAGAACTTGCTTGAACAAGAAGTCATAGTAGTAGTAGTAGTATCCTCAGCATCACATAGTAGCAGCAACTTGTCTGTTGTATCTGCAAATTGTATTTTATCAGCAACTCCTGGTGGTGTGAGAAGAAGGCTTCTTGAAAGAGGAGGAGCCCCCTAGTAAAGGAAGCCTACTACTGGCAGTGCTCCCTGGTCATTATTCCACCAGCATACTAGTAGTAGTAGTGCTTATAGTGATATAGTCAAGAAATGGTTGCAAGATGGAGGTTCTTCTTTAGCAGAGTGGAGGTGCTTCTTGGCACTGGTCATGGCTACTACTACTAGTAGTACTACTTCTTCTTCTTGGAGTGTTGCAGTACTACTACTACTAGTACTACTACTACTAGTGTTGTTACTGGTGGTGGAAGGGGGGAGGGATCAAGACCAAACCTTGATTGCTGCATACAGGCCAGAAGGATTAACTAAAAAGACATTCAACAAACTGTACTATGAACATTGAAAGCATGTATTTATTTGGTGAAGTCCATTCTCTGTCCTCCCATAGCAAATTTGTGTCCTTCTCAGTCCTCAGTGAGTCATTCTTCAATGCATAAATGGTTTACCATGGAGTGGATGTCATTCGAGCAATCGATATGTCGGGAAAAGTTGTGATTGCCGAGTGCAGGCAAATCTGAAGGAATATAATCTATGGGTGGTAGTAGTAGCAGCAGTAGTAGCATGTGTGCGCCCGAATTGAAACTATTATTATTGGGGTCTCAGACGCATTTTCAGTCCATGAATTCTTGTTCATACTACCGGCATTTTAAATCAATGGGTGTGCTTTGCGCATCAACTTTTTTCATCAACAAGAAGTGAAGGAAGTTCGTTAAATTCGTTTCGACAGATCAGTTTTTGTCTCTTCGTTCCTACTGAATTGTGTTTAGTACATTTCCAAAATGGCAGTCTTCTTCCATTTACACTCCCACTATGACGACGGAGCTTGGACGGCGGCCTCGGCTCTCTTTTTTCGTACGTCCCAGTTGAAAATTCGTGTCATGCTTACTTCGGAAGTGACAATTTGATCTCTGACAAAGGCTAGATCTTCTTTCACAATTTTTGATTCTCTTCGACATGTTTCAAGATTCTTCGACAGAAAGTCGATAGCCTCCTGATATGTGTACTCCAACATGACATTTGCCCCAAGCCATAGATTGACAATTCCCACTGATGTGTCTACATCAGCCTTTCCGTACACATTATCAGCCAAATTATAGCGAGTGGTAACAGTTTCTCCAGCTTTTTGCTTAGATTGAAGATTCTTGACGAGGGCGAGTGATTTCTCAATATCGGGAATTTTCAAGTTATAATTTTGCTCTAAGAAGAATGAAAAAGGTACGAAGATCAGAATGTTTTTCGATGGTGTTCTGCAGCAACGTTACCTGCAATCCTTTCAATCGATGAGTCATACTCCGTAGAATCAATGCCAACCCGATCTTAAAATTTCAACGTACTTTTTTGCGTGAGACTGGTTTCAAACGTCTTGAATTTGGAATGCAATTCTGAGTAAGCTCCTATCAGTAGTTCTGCAGATGATGGCGGACTGAAAGAAGCTGCAAATGCGTCCACGTCGTCGATGAATTTTACATGAGGAATCCCCCGATCGTTCTCGCCTTCCGTTATGGAAAGCAAACTCATATTGTCGACATTAGCCTTGTCATCGCCGACAGAGGCATCAGCAACGCCTGCGGTGGACATGATAGCAGTTAAAGTTGGTGCTTCTTTTTGTTGCAAGGTGTCGTGTACTGTCGGTGGTTGGCCTTTCCGTGCGATAGGTTCTACAGAGAAAGGGGTACAGTACGACTAGTCTTAACCATAGAATGCTCTTTCTCTCAATCAAGGGCGTTCGTCGCAAGCGAAGTAAAATACAGTATCCCACAATCATGTTCTGTTGTAGGTAACGTACTGTGGGCTACGGAGAGGTACGTACACTAAGGTACGAGGTATGATTCGAATGGTACACATTGCTCGATTTATTCTAATGCTCCGAGCTCCTGGTTCGTATGATTCCTCGTACTGTACCGTACGCTTGTTCGTACTTACCATACGAGTACGGTATGTACGTACTTGCACCCAGGGGTCATAATTTAGGCCCCTGCTTACGCTTGCACCTTTAGTCTGAAACTTTGGTACTTCTCACTTACAGTAATGTACGTACGGTAATCAATGGTACATTAGTGTACGTACTGTATCTATTCATGATTCACTGTATGTGTGAGGCAATACCACGTAGTAAATCACGAGTGAATAGTGAGTGACAGCAAACAGCACATCCACTCAACTCACTCTTTATTATACACGTACTGTACGTAGTTATACGGCACTTAAGAGCATACGTATATTTCGCAGGTTATAACAAGGAAACGAGCACGACGAGGTCGTAGTCATACGTTACGTACCGTACGATACGTACCTGGAACAAAGCCAACGAAGGTGAAAAATCAAAAATCTTCACATCATTCTTACGTACCAATACTGAACAACAGTACCGGTAGTACGGTACGTACTTGAAGAGGAAGACAGAATGTTTCTCTGCGAGACGTAATCATCACATATCATCAATTCGAAATCCGCCCAACGAAGTAGCAAATGATCAAGCCACGTGTTGCCATCCTTGTCTCTATGATATTGCATCTTGGCCATTCCTTCGCAACGAAATCGCCTATTGCGCATCAAAGAAATGAGATGAGTCTCTCGGCAACTATTGGCACCGTATCGTCATCGGCATCCCCTCGCAAGGTTGCCATTATTGGTGGCGGAGCGGCCGGACTCGTGACAGCTCGAGTACTGAAACGAAATGGGATTGAGTCGACAATTTTCGAGAAAGACTCAAATGACACCGGGGTTGGCGGCGTCTGGTCATACAAGCAAAACTCCGATACTCGCCCCATGTATCGCGGTCTAAGAACCAATCTACCAAGGGAACTTATGGCTTATCGCGAATTCCCATGGGGGGGGGATGGAAAGACGAGGAGCTTTGTGACGCACAGAGAAGTCAAGGATTATTTAAGTAGATATTCTAAGGTTATGGGTGTGGAAGACACAATTCGATACGATTCCATTGTGACCCAATTGGAAATCTTAGAGATCGACGAAAAGAAGATGGAAAATGATGAGGGAAATGAACAATATTCCTGGCCTCAAATCAAAGTGAGGTGGGAATCGGTGCTGGATGGAATAAATGCTGGTGACAGAAATTCTCAGTCAGAAGTTTTCGACGCTGTTTGTGTTTGCAATGGCCATTATTCTGCACCTGCCAACCCAATCATTTCCGGCATGGAAAATTTCGAGGGAAATATTATTCACAGTATTACTTATGACGATCCCTCAGTTTTCAAAGATCAAACTGTACTTTGCGTAGGGGGAAGGGCAAGCGGGTCAGACCTTGCACGGGAGATATCCCACTTCGCGAAGCACGTGTACCTTTCAGATACGACATGTCCTGCCTTGGTCGACGGAAAACCCATCATCGAGGAAAATGTTTCGTGGGTACCGAGAACAACTGCAGTCCTCCCGAACTCTAGAATATCCTTTGGACCTACATGTGGAGAAACCCCGAAAGTTGACACTATAATTCTCTGCTCAGGCTATGATTATGAATTTCCCTTTATCAATGATAATTCGAACTTAGATCTTTCGGTTGTGCCCGGTGAACGGAGGGTGAAACCACTCTACGAACAGTTGTGGCACGCACAATACCCTTCGCTTGCCTTCATTGGACTGCAGCATAGTGTGGTGCCCTTTCCTTTCTTTGAACTTCAAGCAGAAGCTATTGCTTCGCAGCTGGTCGGTGATTCGTCTTCCAGATCTTGGACTCTTCCTCCGATGAAAGAAAGAATGGAGTGCGCTGAGAAGGATGCAACTAGTGGTGGACCGAAAGCACCTGGACGGGTCCAAGATACGCACTACCTCGGATCTTATCAGTGGGAAGAATGCTTGAAGTATGCAAGATTTGCAGGTGTTTGTGACGAAGATCTGAAGAAGTACATAATGACCAACAAGGCAATATATGATCACTCAGGCGAAGCGAGAAAAAATCTTTTCCCTGGCGGTCCAGATACGTATAGGTATATCAGTTATGTACGAGATGACAATAACGAAACTTTTACTGCAGTTTCGTTACATCATGAAATGGATTTAGAAGAAAACCTTCATCCAGCCCATTCGGATAGTTCAGTTAAGGCAAGTTAACTACAAAATTCGGGACTTTATTTTATCCTTTGGTATACCGCGACACATCTGTTTTAACTCGACTTCCATCAATAGTGGTAGGATAGCACTGTCGTATTCGTTGTTGTTTTTGTAAAGGATTCCTTTTCAACTGAAAGTGAACGATGTTGGTGGGAAAAGATGTTGACTGTGACATAATTGCAATCCTCAAGATCGGGTTGGGTAGCCCATCAACCGGTATAGATAGAACTCGCAGAGAGTGCTACGCACCTCTAAACGCTCGAGTGAAGTTATATCACAAAGATAATCAAACCTCTCAAAACATAACACTGCGAACCGATGGTTTCTTTTTTCGATCGACCTGTATTTACCAAATCAGACATTTTGGAGGGTTCAGGAAAATCTAATTCCTGGTACGACCAACTGGAGAAGTACCATATTGAACGCAAGGTGCAACTGAATGAAGCGAAAGTTGATGCAAAGAACTCAAGTAAAGTCCATGCGTCATTTGGCGGCAATAAATTTCATAAAGAAATGGTCCTAATTTCCGAATATACTTATAACCCTGCCTCGTTTTACTCCGATTCTCTAGGCGTGATATGGCATGGTGGTCAAGTATTTCAGAGCTTCCTCGTCGCCACCCATATTATCGTTGGAATAGTATTCGTCAACTTGGAAATCATAATCATCAGTACCACCGAGCCAGATGGGGATATTATTCTTCTCCCCTAGGAGTTTTTCCAATGTTTCCATTTTTTCTGTTTTGTCTTGTGGAACCATGATGATTTTGTTGCGAACTTCTTCAGTAATAAGTGGGAGGAATATTTTGAGGAGAAGCTCACATATTGAACCCACGTTGACAAGGATTATAACCCCAAGCCTATCGGCAAAATGGTCCTGTAGGATCGCAACAAGTGCCTTTACTGAACTAATGCTGGGCATTGAATTCCATGTAAATCCAGTTCCGTCCACTACCGCATTGAATTTCCCTAATCTACCGTTTGATCGAATTAACGAAGCAGCAACTGCTCGATCGAATTCCCTAATCATGGAACGAACGAAGTATATGCGCTCGTTTTCGTTTTCAGTCTTGTTTTTCAAGGCAAGACGGAGCCAGACAATTGCATGGCCATTTTTGTTCTCGGGGTGTGCCGGGCTAAAATTGCGATGATAGACTAGACCTCTGGCGTTTGCTCGTTTGATACCGGGAGTGACCAACCACGGCATATAGCGTTCTCGGAACTCCAAAGTATGTCGTATAGCGACACTGGCATCGCAGTTTCTTCCTGTTTTCTTTTTCCTTTCCTTACAAAGCTTAAATGGAAACTCGGTTGGCCCTAGATTCTCAGGCCATTTCATTATGCGAAGATAAGATGAAAATAGATTTCCACCGTTAATTTGATCGAGTGGAGTACTCACATCGCGATGTTTCGTCGTCCGAGCATACCAATCAAAAGACCCTGGCGTCACCACTTCTGATGAGCCACCCCAGGGTACTAGAGATGATCGTCGTTCAAAGTCAAAGACAGATTCCAAAACATCATTTCCCATCCTAATGAGAAGCGCCTCTTGTCGAGGTGTCAGATTTTGTATTTCGGGTGTAAATGCCGTTGGAAATTGCTCTAAAACTTGGAGTTGTTGCTGCCGTTCTAGTGATAATGACGATGTTTCATCGTTGCCAACTTCTTTGAAGCTGTACGAATCCTTTTGATCCATACGAAATCCGAAAGATTCCCACACCAAACCACAAAAACAATCCCGAGAGTCTTGCGGCATGGATGGAAGTATCTCGTTGGGGTTGGTATTGCCAGCTTTCTTTATCCTTTGAGCTGGTCGTCTCTTCTTCAATTTTGAAGCAAAAGATTTTAAAAAAGGGATTTTTTCATGCCACTTTAACCGCCCATTGTCTCTTCTAAGTTCTTTGTTCTTTTCTGTCTCTTTTCGATTGATAGTTGTATTGGAAGAACAGTAGGACGTTGGCGGAGCACTTGGACCCGTTGTTGCTAATCCCATTTGCATGGGTTTGTAATCTTTGCATAAAACAGTAACTGATGATAACATCGCAAGGGCAATCACCATTAGAGCTGTAACGAAGCCAAGCAAAAACGGTTTAAAGGAAGAAAATATCTTGCTCGTGGCGGGTACGACCGCAACGACTCCTCTGGAGACGGCGGACGACGAGTTGCCAAGTGAGGTAGACGACGGCGATGAAGGAATGGATTGGCGGTGATGAGACATTTTAGAAGTTTCGACGGAGTAAACGAGCATGGTGGACAGGCCTGGCCTTGGGCTTGTTGAGTGAGAGTGTTATGACACTTTTGGGATCAAACTTTTGCCACTTTCGGGATCAAACTTTTGCAAGTCGAAGGAAAAAAAGAAAAACGTTGGCGATGAATAAATTTTGAATTTTTGAGAGAGGATTGAACGACTACTTATGAATCATCATTCCCAAATCTGATATACGGGCTCGAGAGAGGCATATATGTTTTCTGCTAGAAATAAAAAACGACATCTAATGGTGTGTGCTAAAGTCGGAACAAATAAATACTGTAGTACGTACGTACTTCTATTAAAATATTAAAACAGTGATGACAAGTGGACTTGTTCTTGGAAAGTACTACTACAAAACAAGTACTGTAGTACGGTACGTAATCGTGAAGAGAAGTTACAGTACAAATACGTATTGTAGTACAGAAGTATCTCTGTAAAAAGATGCAACTTCTTTTTCACATCGGCAGTATTGTCTTTGATGTCAGAATCAGTTGTTGTTTGTTAAGAACTTGACGTCGTAGCATAACGACCGAATACAATCAAACACAGAACTTGGTTTATCCTCGTCAGCTAGAATGGCACATGAAGATGAATCTTCGCCCCTTGTGGGAGGTCATTGTTACGGTCGACTGAAACCTTCTCAACCCGGTCAAAAGAATATCAAGCGTGTTAGCTCTATTGCAAAAGAACTAGGCCTCGGGAGCCAGAAAGGAAAAGCGTCCGTGGTCAACGTCGGGATTAACCTAGCGAAAACTGCAGGTAAGGATGAAATACCGATCCAGATTTGTGTCTATACAATGACACAGACGCAATCAATATATTTTTCCTCCTGGTTAAGAAACTCATCTCCTTTTGTCATGCTAAATCATCACTTGGAATTTCGGTCAAATAAAACTATATATGTGGCTCGACATTTACTATCGCAGCGGGAACGGGGATACTGGCACTACCATATGCATGCAAACAAGGAGGCCTCTTGCTTTTTGTTTCTGGAATGTTCTTTGTTGTCGTTTGGAATGTTTCTTGTATGAAGCAACTTTGTGATGCTCTCGAATACTTGGTGCGCCTAGCCGAAACTCCTCTCGATTTTAACGATATCTCATCGGTAGAAGACGGCCGAAAAAACAGTTTACTGGATATCATTTTTAGACACTGCAAACATGATCGGTTTAGCATCAAATTTCGCGATCAACCTCCTGAAGGGACGTCATCGTTTTCAAAACTCGGTTGGTATGCTCTCGGTAACTTGGGGCTGTGGTCGATTGATATTATGATGCTCGTGCTACTCTCATTCATAAATATCGCATTTGAAGTTGCAATTCTGCAATTTGCGGAAGCAACACCCTTTACTACTGGGGAAAAGATGCTTGACGGGCTAATTTTGGGATTGGTATTAGTGCCATTTTGTATCGTTGATGATTTGTCTGCTCTCTCAAAACTCAGTCGAATGGGCCTCATCATTCTAGGACTAACGATGTCAGTAGTCGCATGGTATGGATTGAACGAACAAAAGGCCATGGAATATAATGCTGCCAGCACTTTCGAAAGGGGAGAAAGGGACACTGGAATTAACAATCACAACGACAGCAAATTCAACTTATATCCACTCAATGGCATCGAGGGTGTATCAAAATGGTTCGGTTGCACTGTATTTAGTTTTGGAATCGTCCCACTTACTTTCAATTTTAGAGAGTCCATGGCAGATCCGGAAAAGTTGCCCCAAACAGCAATGATTAGCATGTCACTCGTGGGAGTGTGTTATATTGTGATCGGTGTATCCTTTTTATACCTCTTTCCGAACATTGAGAATGACCTCTTGGCTGAAATTCCATCAACTGGTCTCTTAGCAACAACAACACGTATTGCAATGATCTTGGTAGTGATGGCGAGCACACCATTGCTGATCGTGCCTTGTGCGGAAATCATTGAAGGAAAAATATACCGAAGCAAGAGCGGTGACACAAAACGATCGAAGACCTTAATGATTATTATCCGAAGCTCTATCCTCTTCTTTACCGTAAGTATTGCCTCTAAACTCCCCGGATTTATCTCAGTTTTGTCGTTTGTTGGTTGCTTCGCGGTATCAATGGTGAGCTTCGTTCTTCCACCAGGTTTGCATTGGTTACTTCTGGGACAGGGATTGCATGATGGTTCGGGAGATAATGATTACACATTATGGTCCCGTACAAGCGATATAACCATGCTAATGGTGGGGCTTGCGACAACAATAATAACGACCTGGTTCACCGGATCATAAGAAGATTACACGTCCAGAAATTGGGAGGAATGAATTCTACTTAACACAACCGTTTCCACACCATATGTAGTCAAGACGAAAACTAACTCTCATTACAACACTATATTGTTTCAGGATCGTCATTCGTAGCTACAGTGGCGCTTTATTCATCATTGACTGCTTTGACTCCCAGTTGATTTCGAATTTGCTCGATAACTCTTAAATTCAACATGGTCTCGTCCAAAGTGAATTGAGGAGTTTCTCGCTTTCCAGATGCAATGCATCTAGCAACTGCTGCAGCTTCGTAGCAAAACCCTGCACTATTCGGGTAGAAATAGCCTCCAGAGTTGATGATTTCTTCTGTATCTTCAGGCAGAGGGTATTCAAAAGTGAGATTCTTCCCTACTTGACCTCGTCCTTGTGCTTTGACCTCTACCGTCAGCTTCGTTGGGCAATGACCAGGACTTTCAATCTTCATTCGTCCACATGATCCAACTACTACAGTCTCTTCGGGAGTCTCACAAAGAAAACCAAAACTAAGCAACGCGACTCCGGAGCCTGGAAGCTTTGGATACACGTTGCCAAGACCATCGTCATCTGCGGTTCCCATCAACGGTTTTACTGTGTCAGTCGGTGAGAAAGACAAAGTGACTGCCGCTTGCAGCTCGACACCAGTTTCTTGGTCAACCTGGCCCATAGCTTTTACAGCCTCCGGCATGCGACCGTCAAAGAAAAGCGATGCAGCAGCAATAGGATATGGACCCACCAAAAGATTGGCCCCGCCACCAAGTTTTCTTTGATAAACAAATGATGATGGGTACTCCTCGGAGTCGGCAGCGTTGAAATTAAAGTCCGAAAACACGGTAGCAATTTCTCCTAATATTTTCTCACCACCCAATGCTAGGTCTCTTGCCTTTTGAACTGCCGGAAAGAAACGGCTCCACATTCCTTCCATTATGAACAAGTCCTTCTCTTTGGCTAGAGAAATTAGATACTCCCCGTCTTCAACGGAGCATGCAAAAGGCTTTTCTAGTACGACATGTTTCCCTGCCAACAAACATTTTTCTCCTGTACTTCTACGAAATGAGTGGACATTTCCCACATACACTATTTCTACCTCTGGATCCTGCAGCATTTCGTCGTAGCTTCCATAGTATTTGCCGATTGAGTGCTTTTTCGCGAATGCTTCAGCACTCTCAGTTCTACGGGCTGCGCATGCCACAGTAGACTGGGTAGGAAGATGTTTCATTGCTTGGCAAAAATCATTTGATACTCGACCGCACCCTTGGAACGAGAAGTAGGATAGTTGAAGTCAAAACAAGAACCGATTGGTCAGGTAATCGAGATAAAAATAGATGACAAAAATGTGGAGGTGATTCCTAAACGCTTGAGGAATACTCACCGAGGATCCCCCATTTCAGTGGTGGGCATTCCAAAGGATCCGATACATTCGGATCGTCTAGGGGTGGCGGCGGGACAGAAAATACCATGATGTTTTTATTGCGGTGTTGTCAAAATTTGTATGTTACTGTATATGTTACCGTGAGAAAGGGTGTTTCACTTGATCACATTCATTTCTGATTTTGTACGTACTCGTCTCGTACGGTGTTTCGGATAAGAAAACATGTTAATTTTAAGATGGTTCTTCCACCGATACAGTAATCATTCAAGCAGTAGGGTTACCGGTACTAACCTTAACAGTACGCACGTAAAGAGTCCGTACGTGTTGTGTTTTGTGCGATTTCTGCAGAACTGGTGTAAACGAAAAGCTGAAATGAACACAACCAGGGAACGCTAGCAACAAAAAAGAATGAAAAGATTTCAGCACAGTTTCGACGACAACAATCGAATAATACAATGATTACCTTTATTGAAATCATGCATTACATGATGATGCCTGTCACTGCAACATTCGCATTTTTATGGGTGTTTTATCCAGCTTGGGCAGTTTTGATTGCCGAACGAATAGAATGGGATGTTGAAGATTTGGCGTCACCAGGTATGAATAAAGATTCATTCGAATCTCCTCTTTTAACTTTGGTAATTCCGGCGTTTAATGAAGAAGATCGGATACCGATAATGATTCGCGAGACTTTTGACTACCTTACATCGCAACAGGGCAAACAACTGTTGCGAAAATTACAATCCTCGATAAAACCACAAACGACGTCTTCTCTCGAATACGAGAAATTGGAAGACGCGTCATTACGAGAAGAGTCGTCTGAGCAAAGAGGTGCCGAGCCGAAAGTAGAATGGATAATTGTAGATGATGGATCCACTGATGCGACGTGCGATGTGGTACGGGAAACATACAAAAAATTGATGGGTAACAAGAGCAACGGAGTTGGCAAAAGTACACCATCCGCCACGAATGCGTGCGATTGGAAGTGGAAAATCGTGTCTTTGACGAAAAATGCCGGAAAAGGAGGGGCAGTAAAGACAGGGATGAATCTCGCCGAGGGAATGTTCCATTTGATGGTAGATGCGGATGGTGCAACTGACTTCGGAAACGGTCTCGAAAATCTGACTCGAGAATTAAGAGCACACACGCAAGGAATTCTAGCATCTAGGGAAGGACATATTGGTAGTAGAAAGGGCATGGCTGGTTCTAGGATTGCGGTATTTGGTTCTCGAGCACATTTAGAAAGGGAATCCACAGCTCAAAGATCCTTTGTTAGGACGTTATTGATGAAGGCATTCCATTTTTTTGTGAGTCTATTTGTCTCTACGAAAGTCCATGATACGCAATGTGGCTTCAAACTTTTTTCCAAAAAAGCAAGCAATGCCATATTCAAGACTCTTCACTTACGACGGTGGGCATTCGATACAGAAATTGTTTTGTTGTGTGACAAACAATGCATCGACATTATCGAAGTTGCAGTGCGCTGGAAAGAGGTAGATGGGTCGAAACTCAGCACCTCAAAGTTAGCTTTAGCACTTGTGTCCATTTCTATGTTGAGAGATATGATTTGTGTCAGGGCTTGCTACACCCTTGGATTCTGGCGGGTAAAAATGGGCTTATAACATTAATGATAAGAATCGAATTTTAAGTCACTCTCAGATTGAGTTATTTTGCGTTTTCTTACATTCTTGCCATCTTTCCATAATTGCAGGTTCCTGCGCTTTTCATAGCAATTGAATACACTAACAATGATAGGGAAAAAAGTTCAATTTGAAGTTGTTCACTTAAATTCAAAGTTATGAACTTCTACTCATACAATGTCCTTAAAATGCATTTTGCAGGGCTATTTTTGGAAGTACTGGTATGTATCTCAAAATATTTTTTGGCTGCTAGTAGGTTCTTCTTCAATCATGAATCTGGCCATTCAGTGATTCAACTCAGTCATTCAGATACACATTTCAAAAGAAGAACTTTGGAGAATGCAGTATAATTTGTAACAAGACATATAAAGTTCATGAAGTCCTGAATTGTTTTGTTGTTTGTGATATTTTATCTTCTTCTTGATAGTACAAGAACATTTGATGGTCTTGGGTGCTTACTACCTGGATACTCTTGTTCAAAGGAAATCCCATGTGATGGAGTATGAAAGTTTGGTGCTTCAATCAAGACAAAAAAGTGGTGCATCTTGTTGTTAGTTTCTTGTTCTAGTACTAGCAGGACAACTAAAAATATAGTAATGCTGTGGGGAGCCAAAAGAAACTGTGTACATTGCACTTTAATTCACACTTGTATTTCATTAGTATTTACACCACTGGCAGAAGCTATGTCACCCATTTTTGGAAACATTGGAGATCCCATGACATTGTAGGGCAGCTTCTTAGGACTGTCCTCTGGTGGTTTCAATTATTTTCAGGTCTCTCCAAACCTGTTCTTGAATTTCCCTCCATTGCAATTCTATATGTCCCCAGCAAGTTTTTACATTATGTTTGGAAGTATCCAACTACTATAAAGGGCACCATCACTGTTGAAAACACAGGGCTGGTGTCACCACTCAGGAGTGCTGGTGATCACACCATTATGGCCCTTGCCCTTGCCAGACTCCCTGAGAATGTACTCAAGATTTCAAAGCATCTTCTCCCACCAATGTTTGGATCTATATCTTCCTTCCACCACATATCCATATCAACCCAATCCTGACAGAGGAAGTTGGCGTGCCTTTCCAAATTGCTTTGCAGAATCTCCAACAACCCTGTCTCAAACAGGATTCTGACCACAGCTTCTTATTGACTTGGAAATTGGCATCCTCCTCATGCTAGCCATGGTGTGTGGAATGCCTATCTGTCTAATGATCATCCCTTATGGCCCTCAACAAGCCCAGGCAAATGGTGGTCCCATCCTGTTGTTCTCACTCAAATTGGACCACCATGATCAACAAGTGTCTCTGGTAAATACCCTCCTGGTAACCATGTCCCTGTCTTCACTTGGACAACCAAAACTGATGGTTTTCAATACAATCCAACCATTTTTTGCCAATTTCCAAACCACTACATTACCCTCAATCAAATCCCTCACACATGGCCTGCCCTTCTACATGGCCTAGATCCATGGCAACACCAGCTTCTCACTAGCGTTGGATGTGCTTCCTTCCAGAATACCCCTTCTCATGGTTTCAGATGGATCTGGCAAAGGCGGTTGCATGTCCTTTGGATGGTCGCTAGCTACCACAGCTGGGGATAGAATTGCTCATGCAAATGGCCAAATGCTGTGGCATTGAAAGCACTGGCTTGTTATCAGCTTGCCTTTTTGTCACTCTTCACCAACAGCACCACAAGATCAGTACCAACAGATCACATACAACCTACCAGAAATTTACAGCTTCAACAGCTTCTAATAGTACTTTTCCTATGGTGACCAGTACTGGGACCAGTGCACATGGGGTTGGGGTTGGGGTTGTCCAACACAGACACCTTATTTTCTGATGGATATCATGCAGAAACACACTCAACTTCTCCACTTGATGAGCACAATCTTCCATGTCTATCCCCCACCGACCTCCCAGATTTGCAGAAAAACTCTAACTCATTCCAGTTTTGGGAATGAAAAGGAAAATTTTCAAAATTTAATTAGCAAACTGAATGATCTGCACCTTCAGCCCAATCACCATCATCTTTCATCCCCAACCTCTTCTGATGCAAATACATCCTGTTCATCTTCATCTTCTGGCACCACAACAGCTTGCCAAACACAGGTTACTGTAATCAGTGACAGCAAGGCACTTGTCACTAGAATCCAATCCAGATGTGAATACACAGAAGTATATGCAAATGCCACCATGGCACCAGACTTTGACCTGATCATACAGATCTTTCAAACCATTCAGAATCCACCCATCACTTGCTCTTTCTCTTGGGTGAAAGGACACCAGGATGACACCACTGATTTTGATCATCTTCCTCTTACAGACCAGCTGAATGTCAAAGCTGACGGTTATCCTGGCGCCTTTCAAGCTCAGATGACAATGCCCACTTTTATCACTCTTGTTTTACCAATTTGCCCAGTGGTTCTTCAGATCCAATCCTGCTCAGTGACCAGCCAATATTAGATAGCTCTCACGGACTCTTGTTTGATTCCCTGATACCATGCATACTTGGCAGATAGGAACCAGTGGCCATCACAGATTCTCACAGATATTGCCTGGAAGTCCCTAAGCATTGTCATCAATTGTCTCTCCAGGAATGTCCTGGTCTCCAAATGTTGCAACCACACTCTACCCACTGCCACTGTCCTCGTTGCTTTCTGGTATGAATTGTGGAAACAACAACATCATGACTGTAAAGCACTGGAGCTTCTGGTCTGTAAATAGTACTGGAACTGCATGTAGATGCTGGGGAAGCTTCTTTAAAAATGAGGATGTAGCATATCGTAGAGCGTTGGCCAGCAGAGGTACAATAATATCGGGGATTTTTTGCTATCTAATTACCGTGTAACGACTCGTGGGATTAAAAATTGGCTTGTACTGCAGTGTACAGCGGGCACGCATTCATGCGACCAAATAGTTTCGCGCGCACGTGCTCAACCAACAAAATTTTTAATCCCACGWGTTGCTTTCACGTGCATGCTGTAGCCCTAGTACAAGTGAAATTTTTAATCCCACGAGTCATTACACGGTAAAAAGATGGCAGAAAATCCCTGCACAGTACAAAAAACAAGTAGGGCAATAAGAGAGGTTCAACTCACTCGAACAGCTGTAACTTTTCGCCCAACGGACGCTTAAGTATGATAAGCACATGGTTTAAAAGAGAATTCAACGAGCTTTCTAATGGCGTGGGGGAGAACGGAGTACGTTGAATATTGATCGATATTCATGTACGTATATCCGTATTCAAAAATGTCCGATATTTTCGGCCGGAAACGCGTGGCCCACCCTATACGATACTCCTCCCAGGCATTGTCCTTCAAAGAAAAGATCTTGGTTGAATACTGGGGGCTGGGATTATTGCTGTTGCTTTCCAGCACAAATAGTAGAAACAACAACATCATGACTAAACTGGACCTGCATGGAGATAAGGCTGGTGGATCTTCTTTAAAACTGAGTGCGATGTAGCATATACTCCAGGCGTTCTTTTTTGTCAAAGGTGATAATTTTTAGAACCAAAGTGTAATTTTGTGCATTTGAAAAATTCTTTTTGAAAATTATGTTGGTGCAATAGAGATCTAGTAGGGAGGGTGGGTTTTGTCCTAGGATTCTCAGTTTTTTTGCTTTTGCAGTTGCACAGGGTTTGAGGAAGGGGATTTGGTATTCATTTAGGGCTTGCACAGTTCCATTAGAGCCAGTGATTTGTGGGCACTTCCTGTTTTTGGGGTTAAGTGCATCCTGGCATTGAATCATGAGGACCTTACACTTGTTGGGGTGTAGTCCAATGATGTGGAAGACATTTTGACTGTGTCCTAGGGCAAATATAAGTGAAACCCTGTTGTTGTCAAGGATTGCTTGGTACACATGTCCAGGGTTCCATGGTTCCTGGTTTCTGGGTGATGGTGGGGAATGATTCTTTTGGATGGCAGCAATGGCGTTGCAGATTTCAGGGGCAAAGTTGAAGACTGGCATGGTGATGATGTGTAAGCTTTGGGAGCATTTGGTTTGTACAAATTTTACTTTGTGAGCATTTTGTTGTGGTTGATTGTTGTCATTGTTCTGCAAGTTTTTCTCTTGGTTGTTTGGTTCTGGGGTGCCTTGGTGTTGGAGTTGCCTGCTTGTGGGGTTGCATTCTCCAAATTTGTCTTTTGCTAGTGGCAGTTGCTAAATTTAGTTAATTGTTGGTCTTGTGGTGCTGCTTTTCTGCTATTTTTGGCATTTCTTTGTCATTGTTTGGTTCTTTTTGGTGTGTACCAGCCAGTTCTTGTTGGGGTGTCACTTTGTGACAGGGTTTGTCAGGGTGATGTGGTTTCCTTTGTGGGCTGTCTGTTTGTGGTTTAAGATTCTTGGAGTGGGGTCCATCCATTGTTTGTTAGTTTGGTGAATTTTTCATTCCATTCAGCAATTGTCATTGTTTTTTGCACTGGGACCTGTGGTGTTTGGTTCAGTCTGTCAATGTTCTGGCAAGATGGGAGTGCTGTTTGCTGGCTGAGGTGGGTTGTTTGCTGCAGAGAGCGTTTCTGTTGGCTCGTGCTCACAGTGGGAGTGTATTTTTGCCTGTTGCAAAGGTGGTTTCAACATAGCAGGGGTGTTGTATGTTTCTTGTGAGTTGCTGTACATTTTGTTTGGCAGTGAGTCGTTGCCTTTTTACCAGATTCTCCTCTTGGCGTAGTAGTACACAGAAGTGGTGAATTTCATGCTGTGGTGATGATGATCATGATGTGCTGGGGTGAATCTTTCCTCTTTCACATCAAGTCTCATCCTACTGTGGCAGTCCTTCACCACAATATTTTTGACAATGAGGCCAAGGCTTGTTGAGGTGCAAGGCTATCGCATTTGCAGAGTATTGCTATTTACTACGTAGCTGTTTGTCTGGTTATCTCCTACGTCTGTCCGTCGTTTCCAATACTAAAAAATTGTGTAACCATAATTTATGAATCCTTCGTTGGGTTACATTCTACCGTACGTAGGAAGTAATCTTCAGAAAAGATGTCGATACTGGGCCCTCTGTTAGTTTTTAAGGAAGACAGTCATCAACCAAGATCAGGGATTCCCATAGGTTTTTCCATGTTATAACAAAGAGAAACAAAGAGAGAATTGCCCAGGCAATATTCTCTTTGTTTCTCTTTGTT